AAAAAAAAAGATTAAAACATAACTTAGCAACTGTACGGATCAATGGCACAAAGCTCAACCAGGAAGACCAACCTACCGCTATGCCTATACGTTCACTGCGAAATACAAGCACGTATATATTATGTGTTCGACCAAGGTGGAAAGCATCAATTTCCGGGCTTGTGTGGTGATTTTAGTTATTAACATCGACTTGTCGTTACACTCGCGTATCCTTGAGCATAAAAAAAAAAAAAAAGAAAAAAAACTGTAAAGTACACATTAGAGTCTAAAGTTTCGTTGGTTCACCGGCAGGTTGATCGTATAGGTCGAACTATCGCGAAGGGGCGGGTGCATTATTCATTAACATTGGCAACTCATAATCACGTCTTACGATACCCTAAGGTATAGGAACGTATTACACGTACATGATGAAAGTATCGACTGATGCCCGAAGGATGAACAGCACCGTCGACGCAATCGGGAAGATTCAATGCCACGACCATTACACTTTGTCGTTAAAATTTTTTATTTTATAAATCCATGAAAAATTAACCAAAATGACGAGGCGGAAAATTATTATTATTATTATTTTTTTATTTCTAAGAAAAATCTTAATGAAAATCGCAATTCACCACGGAAAATTCGCGAGCACTTATGAGGTAAGAAGGACGCATCGAGGGTTTTGCCATTACCGAAGATCTTTAAATAGCGGAGCTTTAATCGCTACAATGAAGTTTTATTTCACTTAAATGAGGAGCAGAGCTGACAATGAAAGAGAACTATTATCTCCGTTTCGCGGAACAAAGTTGCCGTTGTTGTTGTTGTGCGAGAAAAAAAAAATTAATGTGAATTGAAAAATAATTCTCGACTACTCGCGAAAACGGGTGTTTGGATGTTTTATTTCGCAAATCGTGTGTGCAGCACATGTATATATGCATATATAGTATTGATAATTTTCAAGGCGAGGGTCGATTAGACGTAAGGAAAATTCCTATGGACATTATGATACTTGTGGGTATACACTTGACTTATTCATTCGAAACGAGGAAGTGGACAGTGAAACGTGAAGCCCCAACAGTAAAGCTTTAGAGAGAGAACTTGGGTGTTGAAAAATTAAATGGACTGTAGGGCTGTGGAAGGAAAAATCGCGACGGAGGCAAATCAACTCAGCTAGTCTAACGTCCATCAAGATAGAACACACCGATTCACCTCGAGATTCATGGTGATATATGTGGAAACCCACGCACAAGATAAAATACATGTACTATTTAAGAAAAAATATGATACAATTATGTCGACGCTACGTACACTCGAAAACATACAGGGACACGCGTAGGTGCGGCAGATTACTCAATCGTTGCATCGCTCCCGTATGATCGTTCCAATAAAAAAAAAAAAAAAAAAAACGAATGCATGTTAATCACAGAATTACCACGGTCGGCGTACACGTGATTCACGAGAAAAATGTTTTCTTTGCAATTATACATTCAGCGCTGCATCAGTCAGATATTACGTGCAGGTTTCTTATGATACTCGTTATTTATAACGATGATTCACCTGTGATTCCGAGCTACCACCAGAGAGGTGAGACAAAAAATACATCTTGTATCTTCATAATCTGTGTACTGCACACAGTGTTGTAGAGACATCGCATAGTTTTTTTTATCTCACCTGGGAATCCGACCAACATACCCATCGGTGGAATTACAGTCGCGAGGAAAGTCTCTTGCAACGGCGTCTTAAACCGACCCGCGAAAGGAGGAAAAATAGACGAAGGGAGGGAACAAAAGCGCAAAAGCTCAATTTAATGTATACACCCGCGGGCGTTGGCGCGCAAGTGAAATCGTCGCGTGTGCGTCGCCGACAAATCGGAGGAAAAGCAGAGCAAAATATATATATATATAGGTACAGTTCCAAGGTTCGACCGGAGCTTTCCAAAGAGCTTTTCCATCCGCTCGACGCGTCCGTCTCGTCCGCGAGTTGTATCGCCGTATCGGCGCCGCACTACCGATGGAATGCACACTCGCACCTACATATACCTGTATACAATGTATACCTCCTCGTTTACCGCACCGAGTTGATGATGGCACACGAAGCGTAAATTGCAGAAACGCTAATGCTAATCTGATTCTATAAGCTGCGTAGGTATATATTCGTAATACAAGGGCGCACCGATAAGTTTATTGACTAATAATGGTTGGATTGACCATTCGAGGAACGAGAAAAAAAAAAGAAAAATTATTGTTTCACACTTTTTTTTTTTTTTTTTCAGGGAGGGAATTGACGGGACTGGTGTGTTATGGACGATACTTTTTTGAAATTGTTTGATTCCATGGTTTTGCGAGCGTGTGTAGAAATACAAGTGTATCCCCCTTAATTGTGTCAACGCCTGCAACTGCCCAAATGAATGCGAATTGATCAACAAGAAAAATACGATTCGTGGATAAAAACAGAAAACGTATCGAAACGTAAATGAAAAAAAAACATTGATAATCGACTATGACAATAAATAAAAAATAAAAATAAAAAAATGTAAGCAACGGTGCATGCATATACCCTATATACGTATACGCGACGTAACATCGTTTACCCTGGATTATCGAACGCATACACGTACGTATAAATTATCGAGGGCCCTTTTTGCCAGGTAAGCATGCGATAAAAACCACGCGAAAGAACGAGAGGGAGGGAAAAAATGACACAAGGGACGAAACAACAACAACGATGTTGGTATGAAAATGGGTGGATGCACACGCGAGTTGTGTCGGTGTGTATACAAACGCGCACGCGATTACGTCACACTTACACGGGTAGAATTCTATATGTCACATGGAAGACACTTGCTCGTTTTCTATACCCGTGTTGGAGCTTTTATTTACGGCATATGTGAGGAATTCTCCTTTCATTCTTTACTTTTCAGGCTACCCAAAAGTGCCAAATTTTAATTTTAAGCTACACCTCTTAATTAATTTTTTTTTTTTTTTTATTGGTGGTAACCTAAATAGTGGAAAAAATGATATTATTTTACATTTAATGCTGAAAAAAAATGTACAAGGACCTGAATTGCGTGTTCTTGGAATTTTTTTCCACTATTTAGGTTGCCACCAATAAAAAAAAAAAAAAATTATCAAAGAGGTGTAGCTTAAAATAAAAATTTGGCACTTTTGGGTACCCTGAAAAGTAAAGAATGAAGAGAGAATTCCTCATATATAAATATTATGTCAAACAATTGTATTACGTTTATAAGATAATTAAAAGGGAGTTACGTGTTTTTTGCGTGTTATTTGATCATGTAAACGATTCATGGATTTATAAAAATATATTATTTACCGTGAAAAAGCTATTTGGCGTCGACTACAAATCATATAATTATATTGTAGACAAGTAGTCGCGAGCCTACCGGATCATTTCTAACATATCACTCAGGAATATTATTACATCGTTAGCAAAAACAAACAGAAAAAAAAAAAAAAAAAAAAAATAAAAACTCCATATAGGTACACCGCATAAATATTATGTATGAACCTAACGTCATCATAAGCACGTCCTATATACTCGTTACAAAAGAAAAATCCTCGTGTGCTCTCCCAATCGTATATATACATATACATCACAAGTACGTAATATAGATGACAATTTGAGCACTTATTAACAGCAATGATGTATAACATATTGAAACGAACAAACTTACCTCGCTGTGGCCGCGTGACAGCGTTGCGCGACATTGTTCGCGACTGGTTCGCGTCGTCGGTCCCCGAAACAGCGACGGTAACAGTTGAGGTAGAAAAGCAAGCAGCGCCGGGGTGGCAGTAATAGCCGAGTGGTCAACAGAAGCCCGAGGTACTTGGGCGTCCTCGGCGGCGTCTCGGGTCTCCCCGGCTCGGGGGGGGCTCGTGGCGGGCCGACTGCACCCCCGAGATCGGCGTCCATGTGGTCACCTCCCCGGGCAGCGCCACCGCTGCCGCCACCGCTCGGTGCGACCGATGGGAGCGGGACTGGTTTTCGTTCTATTGGCGAAAGCAGCAGCAGCGGTCGACCGGTAGCCGGCTGCTGGAAGTGCCGCCACCACCGCCGCCGCTCGACTCCCCCGCACGGGGCTTGCGACGCTCATCCACGCCGGCTGTCCTCGATCCTCACTGCGAACAATCATATCGACGAGCGTACACAAATTATACATCATTAATTATACTTGTACATGATGAGCTCCAAGTATATATTCATCGCTATTACGATGGAATTAAAAAATTAAACAGGACGAGAGTAACGATTAAAACCAAACCCAAAGATGAGGAGCTTTTTGCTACGGGAGAAAATGTTATTTTGCCAGGGATCAAATCAGTATGAAACACCACTTTTTTTT